TCCCCGATGGAAAGGGGGCAACGTGGAAGCAGAGAGAGAGAAGTTGGGTTGAGTATTCCTGCTCCTGAGGACCATATGGTGTGAAACCGACTGCAACCCCCACTTCCATCCCCCTGCGCCTCAAGGCAAAAAGGGAGGGGGAAGGTGAAGAAACCCAAACACATCTGAGCCCAGGCAGAAGGGAGGGGTGGGGGGAAGGTGTTTTGACTTTAAGATCTGGTTGTATCTCCCATTGTTCTTCTCTGATGTTGGTAACAACATAAAATTGTTTTGTTTTTATTCCTTATGATGAGTCTGTCTTTTGCCGGTGACCTTTTTAAGTGGTGAGAAGCCATCCCAGTCCTTATTTTGACTAGTCCTTGTTGGGGCATCATGGTGCTCAGTTAGGCACTGGGCCTAAAGCACAACAATTATGTTATACCAACAATTCTACTCTCTAGCACAGGGCATTGTATAACCATGGAAAATGAGAATTATTCAGAGCAACTCAGACTTTCAAGCACTACATAAACCAACAGTACTCAAAGTTAAAAAGCCACGGAGGGCAGTAGAAAGACTGGTGTGAGCTTTCAGCAAGATTCATTTTGCAGTGCTAAGTTCCTGACTCAATCAGCAAAAGCTTCAAGCTAACAAGTTAGAGTGAAATTTCTGCTGTAGCACTGCATATTTGTAACCAGTTATGACATCTCATCTCAAATTGATTTTCAATGTTGTTATCTTTCTCCAAGACATGTTAAAATCCTTTCCTAAATTGTGTCATTTTGGAAGCCCAGTTACATACACAATAAAAATTTTGACTGAGTACGCTATTCCTCCCCTGCTCAGGCTTCAATATTAACAGCACGAACAAATTTAGAGATCTCTAATATTGTCACTAAAATAATGCTCACTTTTGAACAAAACTGTATTCATGTACAGTTTTGTTCAAAAGTGAGCATTATTTTAGTTCAATTCATCTTCACCCTTCAGAATTCATATTCACAGAGCTTAGTAAGCCTGCTAAGTCCATTACTAGCTCAGATTTTTTTTTAGGAAGAAACTGATTTTTTAAAATGCAACTTTTAACATTAACTTATTTTAATTTGTGCTCTTTTTAAATGCCCTCCTCTGAGTATTTCATTTTTTCTAGTGATTTTTATAAAGATTACTGGGTAACAAGTATTAGCAAGTCTAGGTTTCCTGCAATATATGTACGTACACACACACACGCACTGTAGTCTACTGCAGTGCAATGCAGTCAGTTCCTCTGCCCTACCTGACTGAGGCTTCCAGGTACTTGCATAATTAACCAGGGAAATCAAACTTCTGCCAACTTCCACTGCACTTTTCAGCAGCCCTAAGCCAACCACTACAATAAACCTTCCTTAATCACCACCATTCTTCTTTGACAGGTCTGGTTCGCAACAGGACCATACAAAAACTTGTGCTGGCACAAGGAGTGAGATAACAAAGAAGTAGGAAAAGGAGTACTTGTACTAATGCCAGCTAGGGAGCCAGGACAAAGCTGCAGCTCTCCTGTTAGAGTGACTTACACTAGTGTGGATTTACCCTTCGATTTTGCCTCTGTGCTTATTTGAAGGGCCTGGGCAAAGCATTCCTTGTAAATTCCTTCTTGCTCAAGGTGAGTGACATAATTTAACTAGAAGATACAAGAATAGTACTGAAATAACCAACTTACTCAAAATCCTGTAAATTGGCAGAGTAAAAAAAAAAATCTGTATAACAGAAAAGCACAGAATTGTGTGGACACTAGTAACTAGAGAACATTTACATAATGGACTAACATTTTTTTCTTCCTCTTATTTAGTAACTGTTTCCTTCAGACTCTAATCACAATGCTCTATGTAAATTACTTAAATTACATCCCCAGAAATGCGTGTATCAGAGCCTTCAGAGAAGTTCACTTGGCTTGGCCATGCCTGTAAGGCAAGGTCAACTTCTGAAGTGAGTTCATCACTTCCCTGCCATTCCTATGATTGCATCAGAGATACAAAAGTAACTTCAAGTTACTAACTTGTTACTAACAGCTAACTAAAATTCCCACACTTCTTAAATTCAGACTATTCAATCTTGACTTTTTAGAGTTAAAATTCACCAAGGCATATTTTGCCTCAGCTCAAGAACAGCCTTTACACCTAATTTGTAATTTATTTTTATTATTTATAAACAAATGTAAACTGATGCAGTAAAACCTTGGTTTTGAGTATAAAGGCAGCCCAACAGAAACAATTCAAACTGCCTGTATCCAGCTGAATTCTAATGAAGATTCTATATTAATTTTTATATAGGTCTCATTTCTACTACATTTGATTTTTGATTCAGCACACTAAGCCATGTCAAAAAAAAATAAAAATCACCTTCACCCAAAGCTTTGAAAGGATGTTTTGATACAGTGTCAAGATAGAGACAGACACCTATTAAATGACAAACTAACTACTCCACTGTTAATCGACTGATGTATGAGGCTATGAAGACTGAATCAAATGAATCCCACTGACACGTGCTTTTGATTGCCAACTGAACAAATTCCGATTTGCCATGCTTTTTCCATCTCCTTACATCATCTTGACTCACCACTAAATTACAAGTGAAAGTCAGCTTTTGCTTCACCTGACTCCTTGCAACTGTAGGGTTTTTTGACTCCGCATGCTCCCTGTTTAGACGACAGCGCCAGCTGCAAGCAGCATTCCACCAGAGCACCATCAGCCCGCACAGAGGATGCTGGGCTGCACCACCCTCCAGGAGGGGCCCCTGCCTTCAGGCTCAAGCATTCACTGCAGCTGCAGATCTGAGCATCACCTCAGCTTCTGCTGCCACCAAACTCATGCATGAGTGGCAGAACAGGTTCATTTTGTTTGGGGAAGAAATCACACACCTTTTCAAAAGCCAGGAAAAAAATAGACATAAGTTCCTAGATAACAAGTAAATATGTACGTATTACTCTGTTACAGGATAACATGTAACAGCAAATACAAGGATTGCATTTTGGCATATAATGATTAAGGATCATACATAATTATCCAATATGGTTGACTTCCAGAAGAAGCTTTCATTCTAGTTTCTCAAAATCATGTCCTCAAAAGGAACTAAAATACCACAATACATACAGCCTTTCTCCTAAATTATAATACAGTCTCAGAAAGAAGCAAATGCAAGGTGACAGCTGACAGCAGTCAACCTCAAAACACAATTTATTATTCATGTGCATTACTGCCATGGTTTAACCCCAGCCAGTAACTAAGCACCAGGCAGCTGCTCACTCACCTCCTCCCCCACAGTGGGACAGGGGAAGACAACTGGAGGAAAAAGGTAAGAAAGCTCAGGAATTGAGATAAGAACGGTTTAATGACTGAAAGAAAATTAAAATAAAATAACAGCAATAACCATAACAATAAAAAATTGTATTGATAACAAAGACAACAAAAAATAAGAAAACAAACCCAAGGAAAAAAAAACAGCAATGCAACTGCTCACCACCTGCCAACTGACACCCAGCCAGTCCCCGAGTAGTGATCACATCCCCCAGCCAACTCCCCCCAGCTTATGTACTGAGTATTAATGTCTTGTAGTACGGGATTTCCCCTTTGGTCTGTTTGGGTCAGCT